CCCTCAAGGTGCTTAGTTGTGGCTAATAAGTTGTCCCCTGTTATCTCTATAATGCATATGGACAGTTTTGAAGCACATACAAATACATATGTAGGAATATCGTCTGCCAAATCTATGTGCAGTCATGGGTATATTCCTGTTCACCTACCCATACCTGGTCCTATAACAAAGTGTATAACCAGCACAATATCACTAAGGAAAAGGAAGACATGGAGTTGTGCCCAAGAGGTACAGGCAACAAAGGTGAATACTGTTACAGACACAATGCTGTATTATCAGTGACAGCAAACACTCATCTATGGTAGATATATAGGTAGACAGGCAAGGTCATTGCTCATTTTTTGATTGGATTGTTTGTCTTTTTGTTGTTAGGTTGCATGAGTTCTTCTGGCTATTAAATCCTTATCCAACATAACAACAACAACAAAAAAAAAAAAATCTCGCTGCCGTCAAGTTGGCTCCAACTCATAGCGACCCCTCCTTGGGTTTCTGAGACAGTATCACTATGGAAGTAGATTGCCCAATCTTCCTTCCAGGGAGTGCCTGGTGGGTTTGAACCACCAGCCTTCTGGTTAGCAGTCAAATACCTTAGGAACTACACCACCAGAGCTCCCTATCCAACATAAGGTTCCCAGAAATTTTCTCCCAATCTGTAGATTGTCTCTCTACTTGGTTGATAAAGTCTTTGCCTCTCATGCTTTTGGTGTTGTATCTAATAAGCAGTTGCTAAAAACTGAGTCCTGTAGCCATACCCCTGGATTTTCCACTATGAATTTAGGTCCTTGATGCCTTTTGGATTGGTTTTTGTGCATTGTGGGAGGCAGGGATCCTATTTCATTCCTTTGTGTGTAGAAATCCAGTTTTCCATACACCATTTATTGAAGAGGCTCTTCCTCCATCATCGAGTGGACGTAGCACCCTTGTCAGAAATCACCTGACCACAGATGTACAGGCTGACTTCTGGCCATGCCTCACGCCCATTGGTCTCTGTGTCTATCATTATAGCTCTTCTGCCTGTGCCCCTGGGCCAGCCTGTGCACTTCCTGAGTACACGTTGCAACTTTGACCACCACCAGTCCACTCCAAAGCACCATCCTCATTGCTGCTGGCCAAGAATCTGGATTCAAGAAGTTCGTCCGGAGATTTGGTACAGCTCAGAACTCAAAGATACCGTGTGATAATCCAGACATTCCCAGGATAACTCACAACCACCTGTCTTAGTTTCCTGCTGCTGCCATAACACAAATAGCACAGAGAAATTTAAAGTACAGAATTCATCTTCTCACAGTTCTGGAGGCTAACTGCCCAAATCAGGGTCTTGGCTTTTTCAGTACTTCCATTATCAGTTCCTGGACCTTCCTTGGCTTGTAGACACTCTTCACATGGCATCTGTCTTCCTGTGTGTGTGTGTCTGTCTGTCTGTCTATTCTTGTCTTCTTATAACTCAGAAGTGATTAAGTTTGTGACCCACTCAACACTGGCATGCCCTCATTAACATAACAGAAGAAAACCCCAATTTTAAAGATCACATCTACAGGTGCAAGAAATTAAACACATATGGGAAGAGGGGCAGTTCAATCTATAACACTGTAAATAAGTCCATTCAAGAAACCAAGTCAGATCGAAGCTGCTTAGTACACAAAGAATTAGCACAAATGGAATTGCAGTCTGTAGCGAAATGTCATCAAACTAGGATCACTGCTTGAACCATCTCCTCTCTGGGGGATTTTGTCTGAATAACTAGTGCTGGTCCTGAAATAAAGAGTTCTGGTAGTGCAGTGGTTAAGGTATTTGGCTGCTAAGCAAAAGGTCAGTGGTTCAAACCCACCAGCTGCTTCATGGAAGAAAGATGAGGTAGTCTGCTTCTATAAAGATTTGCAGCCTTGGTAACTCAATGGGGGTTGCTATGAGTTGGAACTGACTTGATGGCAGTGAGTTCAGCTCTTTGGAGTGGTCCTCACTTAAGTACAGGTATTCATCTTGCAATGCCCACAGTGAGTTCCGTGAAATAGGAGGTTCTGTGATTTGGATGCTGTGAGAATACTACATTAAAACCTTATGGAAGCCCACTTCTGGTCATCCTTCTCACTGCTGTCACCATTGCTGCTGCTAGAGCTGCTGGTGGAGGCTGGAGGAGTGGACAGCAGCCGTGGACGCTGACAGGGCAACAGCGAGACAGAGAAAGAGGGCAAGCAGCAGGAGCAGCCCGGGCCCCAGAGCCCTGCTGCGGCCACCCACCCGAGGAGCAAAGCCCAGGAGCCTGTGCCAGAGCTGTGTCCTCTGCCTTACCTGCCTGTATCCCACCCATGGTACACAGCTGCAAGAGTCGGGGTTGGGGTCTTTAAAGCCATTAAACCAAAAGACAAAAAAAAAAACTACTAAACACTGCCATTGAGTCACTTCTGACTCATAGCGACCTCCATTGGGTTTCCAAGGCTGTAAATCTTTGTGGAAGTAGGTTGTCTCATCTTCCTCCCATGGAGCAGCTGGTGGATATGAACCACTGACCTTATCAACAAAAAGAGGGTTGCTTTCCTTAAAAAAAAAAAAAAAAAATCTTACAGGACTATACACATACATGCAGTCCCCAACTGCCCAAAACAGATGTTAAACAACACACACCTGTACCGACATGTTTCACTTTTAGTTTTCCTTTTTCGAGAATCTTTGTAGACAACTGCCCTTCTGTTCACATGTCTTTGTTGTTGTTGTTATGTGCCCTCGAGTTGGACCCGACTCATAGCAACCCCTCCTTGGGTTTCTGAGGTAGTGTCACTACGGAAGTAGATTGCCCAACCTTCCTTCCGAGGAGTGGCTGGTGGGTTTGAACCGCCAGCCTCCTG